TGTTGTACAAAGGGACTAGAAATGGTTGAGGTGGTGGTAGAATGTGGCAGAGACTGCAAACAGTTCTGAGTCCCGGAGAGGCTTTCTTGGGAGGTAAGTTTGACTTTAAAGAGTATCAGCTTTAAACTTGTGGAGGCTGAGAAGAGGTTAAAAGAGGACTGCTAACATCTTGGCAAGTGTTTACATGGGCAAGGGGTGCTTGATGTTGCCACGTTTTGGACTACTGTGAAGCCTTGTCCTGCTGTGGCAACCCTGTGGAACAGCAAACACTTGCTCAATTGTGTCTTGGTACTCTACTTCCAGCAAGCGTTTGGTTTCTTTTTTTTTTTTTATATTTCAGCCATCCAGTAAAATTAAATAGGTACTTCCCTTAATGTTATGCCTCTACGCTTAAAGCAGGCAGATAGTATTTACCTAGGAAGTGCATTTGTTAATATATTTTTTGAACAGCATAACTATGAAGATTGATTTTTCCATGGTGTTGTCTTTTCCGGCCACAACACCATTCCTTCAACTTCGTCCTTTGTTCTGGCGCTTCCTCCCCTTGCTCATACCATAGCACCTTCACTCTTCCTCCCTCCATCCCATCTCTGTTCTGAAGTCGTGTGCTGTATAAGTAGTTAATAGGTTTGTCATTGCTACAAACTTGCTGGGGAGGCCAAATTCAGTATCTCGATTCCTGGGCAACCAAGTAAATGGACATGACCTGGTGTTGGGCGGGCCATATACCCTCCAGACTGCCTGCTGGAATCTAGTAACTCTGGAAATCTATTTCTGTTAAATATAAAAATTACCTACTGGTTGCCAAAGCTTTGGCACAGATGGGTAAAGAGGAAACTGACTAGCTGCCCTGTGTGGTTACTAAGGAGACTTGGGTGGGAGAATGCAACTAAAACCCCTGTCCCTGCTGCGCAGGCATGATTCAAATCTGCAGTTTTCAGGCTAACAACAATGCTACTCCCAGATAGGAAAATCTGCTCATTTTCAGTCAGATCAGGTATCCCAGTTTTCTCTTAATGCAACAATTTTTTTCTTTTTTTTTTTGTAATCCTGGGTAATGTCCATTTTTGTGTTATGAAATAAACTTTTCATTATACTGTAGAAGCCAAAATTCAGGCTAGGGAACTGTCAAGTTTCCTGGAAGTTTCCAAGTGACATTTGTATGACTTCTGAAAGGCCACTTATAATCCTTATTGTTATTCTTATCTGAAGAAAATTACAATTAAGAGCAGCTAACACAGCTAGAATTAATGTACAGTTTTGCTAATTATGAGTGTAAATCTTCAAGTATTTTATAAATACTAACAAGCTTTTAAATGTCAGAGGTTTGTGGGCTTGCTAGCTAGTTCACTTTGCAGTCAGTGGGATTCACTTTTGTGTTTCTGCAGGCATTGACTTAAAGTATGTTTATGCATGAATGTGACGACAGAGAAGCAAATTTTATGCGGAGGGCGTAAGTGCTCACTGCTTCATGTTTTGGTGATGATGCAAAAAGATACTTCAACTTTCACTGTGCCCCCAATTCACAAATTGAAACAGGATGCTCCTTACCAAGCTCCTTAAGTTCCCTACTGAATTGAACACCGTTGGTTTCCAGGAACCCGCGTAGGTTCCTGCATTTTCCAGTTTCCCATCCCGGACTTTCCACTGTGGGTTCACTCTTAAAAAATCTTTCTTGACATGCTTTTCTGATGGCTGTTCATTTAAGTTGGGAAATGATTGGGTTTATACCTTCCATCTATGCTTAGTTTTTCCTGTTGCGTTCTCCTGAGGTGGTGGGAACATCTGAAAGCCAGACAAGAAGTACTACAGATGATTTAACCTGTCCTTTCAAAGTACAAGGTCTCTTACTTCCCTGCCAATATGGAGCATGGCAGCTCTGGAAGTTGTCCAGATAATAATAATAGAAAAATAATTACTTTGAATAAGTAAAAATCCTTCTGCGCAGCATTTTTCACTGACAAAAACTGCATCCAAAAAAAAGCAGGGTGATAATCCCAAACCGTGTTTTCTAATGCAGCATATCTCCTGCGGCTTTCAATATTTTGCTGTACTGATGCCACTGCAGTGGAGAGTCATGAGCGACCAAAGAACGATGGTCTGTTCTCTCAGCAGGGTTTGGGTTTGGGTTTGGGTTACACCAGATGTGGGGCAACCGCAGACGGCTGTCCTGGTGTGCGCTGCCTAGCGGTGGTGCGCTCCCACTGCCTTTGCTATCAGCCTCGTGTAGCTGCCAGCTGATTTTATGGAAATATGTATTTTGCTTTTGTGGATTAGTTTTCTATCAGATCAGCTTGTTGATCTGAATCGCCCTATGGGGGTACACGAGGAAGCAACAGGAGCAGCTTGTTTGAGGATGCCCTTTTCAACAGGCAACCCCCAGTTAGGGCACGTGAGGTGAAAGGTGGAACCACAAGTGCAGTAAATCTGTCTCTCAAAGTGCCGTGTTGTTGAAAAAGAGATAAATCCTGGGAACCGCATCTAATGTGCGGCTAGCTGAAATATGGTAAGTAACATGTATAGATAATTCCAGCTACTTAACACTTCTGAGGGGGAAAAAAAAAAAACCAAACAAAAAGACACAGAAGCTAAAACCACAACCCAAACCAGCATTGGTTTGAGGTTGCCTATAGAAGCCATACAGGGTGATTTAAAAAATAGTTGCATTGGATCTGACCTGTTTGCTGCAGTAAGAAGGTAAGGTAAACAAAACCAGTTAGTTCAAGCTATGGCCATCAAACAGCATTTGATGCTCTTCAGGCCTGTAGTTCCTCAGGCGGTGCTTTGGTTCAGACTAGCAGAGTTTTTAAATACCATTGTGCTGCCTGGGCTGTGATTAAGCAGTGATTGAGTGCGGCTGTTGAAAAGCAAAAATCATGTTCTGACTTGTAATCTGAGAACAACCATCGCTGGGAAAGTGATTTCGGATTCCTGGTGAAAGCTTTTCTCTTTTAATCTTCAGCCATGCATAGCTAAGCTGATCAGTTACCTCCCTGTGACCACCACCTTTTTTTAGCATGTTTTACTTATTTACTTGTTTTTATTTAGATTTCATGCAGGTGATGTGCTTTTTCCATGCACAGCCCATTATCTGTCTCGGGTGTAGGATGGAGCGCTCTCCATTCCACTTGAGAGACTCTAATTTTCCAGCGGTATCTATAAACCCAGTGTCATTCCTAAGGCATTGGCCCTTTTTGTGATGCAAATTTCAGCGGAATAGCTATCTGGCAGAAATGATGATAAAGAGGGGTAGTTGCTGAAATGAAATACAGTAATAGTAAAACCATTAGTATTGAGTAATAGTAAAACTGTCTTGGTATTGAGTGGAGGCTGTATGAATATGCACAGCCTCTGGAGTTCTGCAGGCAGTCATGGGTGCTGGAAACAGCTGAACACAATTATCAGGGACCCAGACTCACTTAGGCAGCAGGAAATGACCAAACATAAATGTTTCTTCATAATCTTTGGATCTTATTAAACTAATAATAGCTCTATTGGTGCTGGCTGCTGACACTTATATTCTGTCTCGGCTGGTGGACATCCTTCCCCTTTCTGAATGTTTTCCCTCTCAGTTGTTAATACACAACGTGCTGCCTACCAGCTCCACCCTCAGAGGGCAAACATCTCCCCAGCTGCAATGCACACTCGGAGGGAAAAGTTGACTTGCATCTTTGCACTTGTCAGAGGAGCATTGTATACAATTGTTCCCCCCACCAGGAAAATTTCTTTTGAAAAGTTATATTCAGTTAATTAAATAATATCTGAGTGTACCAAACTAGAGCTGAAAAGGTAAATTTAATCACGGGACTGAATAGGAATTCTTTATTACACCTGAACTCTTTTAACTGGGGAAACAAGGTTTAGCCCTTCTTTCCATGAACATGAGAAGGAAAAGAAACTGCATTGGGTCTGGCAGGCCATGGAGGTCCACAGTGGGGCAGATATCCACCTGATCCCATGGAGGATGCCACACCCGAGCGGGTGGATGCGCTCCAAAGGAGGCTGTGACCCCGTGGGAAACCTGTGCTGGAGCAGTCTGTTCTGAAGGACTGCACTCCGTAGAAGGGACCCACGCCGGACCAGTTTGTGAATAAATGCAGCCCAAGGGAAGGACCCACATTGGAGAAGTTAATGGAGGACTGTCTCACATGGGTGGGATGCCATGCTGGAGCAGGAGCGTGTGAGGATGAGGGAACAGCAGAAACAGCATGTGATGAACTGACCACAACCCCCATTCTGTGTCCCTCTGTGCCGCTCAGTGGGAGGACAAAGAGAAATCAGGAGTGAAGTTGAGCCTGAGAAAAAGAGAGGGATGGGGAGAAGGTGTTTTTGGATTTGTTCTTACTTCTTATTATCCTACTCTGATGTTAATTGGCAATAAACCAAATCAATTTTCCCCAAGTCTGGTTTGCTTGTGACAGTAATTGGTGAGTGATCTCCCTGTCCTTATCTCAACCCACAAGTCTGTCATTGTATTTTCTCCCCTTGCCCTGTTGAGGGAGGAATGATAGAGCGGCTTGGTGGGTACCTGGTGGCAGCCGAGGTTAACCCACCACAAACACTTAAATAGTTGTACCCTTTAAAAGCATCTGTTTGGCTGTGTGAGTTTTGGAAAGCTTTTCTGGTGAGATTTTCAGTCCCTTTAGGTATGGCTGAGTTGTAAAGGTGTAGAAAATGTATTCCATGCATCTATATTAGCTCTTGTTCAATTTGTTTAACTATTGGTTTGCCACCCAGACAGCTACACCTGCAGGAAGATCTCACCCAGTTAACATCACCCACTGATTCATATTTCCCAGGTCTCCTGAACATCTCTCTGGGACTGCTGTGAGAAGGTACACACTGCACTAATAAGCCAGTAACCTCAGCTTGGCTGTTACCAAATCCTCACCACAGAGCTATGGAAGTCTAAACAGTCTGTCCTGCGCTGGGGCAGGCAATAGCTGTGCGACAGCTCATCAGCAACTCCTGTGTGTCAATTAGATTTTGAGACATCCTCGATGGCGGTGAGGAGCATGCAATGCACAGCTCTATGCAGAACTGCTATGAGAAGTGTCGCAGAAGGGCTCCTGGGTGAGGTGCTGGCTTAAAGGGCTGAGTTTAAAGAAATTGTCTCCAGCTGTTCGATTTATTCTGTGCTCAAAGAAGCAGGGCTGTATATTTTTGTAAATAAACCAAACTGCATCAAAGATGCTTTACTCCCAACTGGAGTAACCTATCAGACTCTGAGCTGACCCACTGCACAGATCAAGAAAGGTGTCTTCCTGTGGAAGGGAAACTGGCAGATGGAGCAGAATTAGGAATTTTGATCATTTTTTGATTTTTGTCAGCTGTGCTGCAGTGACAGTAAAAAAGTCTACTTTGAAGTGGTTTTATCTATATATGTATTTTCAAATTTCAAAATGATTTATGTGCTACAATACCTTTCCAATATGTTCTTACTAATGGAAAGTGCTAAAAATGTCATCTTCTTTCTTAAACAGTTTTGGCCCTCCTGTTTATTTCATGCCATCTTTCCTCATGCTAATGGCAAAATTAAGTCCCTGCTACTGTCAGCTTGGAGTACGCCTTCATAAAAATTATTTGCTGAAATTTTTAGTTCCGTTGCAGTAGTATAGTTCAGAGCAACATGGCTTTGTGGAGCATCAGAAATAGCTCCTGTCGGAAAACAGGATGTTAGAAACACTTAATACCTTGTATTAACCTTATATTAACAATGACTAGCAAACACGTACTCAAACATGACATTCATATCCGAGGCCAATTTACAATCCTGGGGTTGTGCAGATGTAAGTAATGCTTTGGTTTTGGCTGCAGGATGTTTATGACTGATGGTGAAGTGCCAAGTTGGTTCTCCAGTTCCAGGCTGAGTTTGCAGCTAGGAAAACAGAGCCCATTTCATTTAAAGAAAAGGGAAAGTCCTAAATTTGTTTTTTTTTTACAGAGCTGTGTTTCAGAGTGGGACCATGCTTCCAGGACAGGGAGTGCTTTCTTTGCTTTGGCGTAGTGCCTGGCCCTGCTCTCCTACTGTAAGCAGTGAGAGATCACCTCGCTGGATTTCAGCCACAGGTGTGTTTTGACGCTCAAGGCCAGTAAAAGCTAAAGAGTCTTCTGCTTCTGTGCAGAAACACAGGAGTTGCATTTGCTACTCCGTATCTTAGGCTGTGAACAATGAGACTTGTTTTAGTTTGGGGGGATTTTTTTAAGATTTTATTTTATTTTATTTTCCCTCGAAAGGACTTAACTGTGTAGTAAATAGCTGTTAAGTAAAATCATTGTGTTATTCTTTGACAAAGAGAATTAAGCTGGTGCCTCGGTAAACATTAGGGAAAACATTTAGTGAGAAAAGCCCATACGTACCAAAGTAGGACACCTTTGATACAGATGGCTGACTCATCAGTGTGACATATTCTATGCTAAATATGGAAAGCTCAGATGTCATTTGTTGCATCTCAGCAAGAGCAGAAAGAGATTTCTTTGTTCTTCCAAAGATGCCTTATAACCAGACACAGAGATCTTGACTAACTGTTTATGCAGGTGAAAATACTGATGCGCTGTGCAGCTTCTCCCATTCCCTGCTGCAGCCAAGGGCCTCCGGTGCAGATGGGTGAGTTGTCTGGAGGTTCCTGGATCCCCTCAGGGCCACCTTCTTAGGTTGCGGGATGTATTTCTATGACCACACATCACCTGGGTTTCTCCACCAGGTTTTTGTTTCTAACTTCTATCTTAATTTGCAACGTGTGATAATTTAGCTGCTCATGCTTTTTTCTCTCTCCTCCCTGGGGAAGTCACGGGAGTCCCGAAGGTCTAATCCTGGCTTCAGTGACATAGCTTATTGCACTGAGCATCAGACTGCCTCCGGTAGCTGTGGGAGGCAGATTTTTGGGAGGCCCAAAAGGTAGGTTACGTTTTGTAGCTAGTCTTGCATCAGCATGTCACATGCATCTGATGTCACTTGCTATACACTGCTGTTACTCTAAGTGTGAGGCTTTGAGGCAGACAGGTGTCAGTGTCCTGGCTTAAACATACAGTTTAATGGTAGATGGATTCAAGGGAAAAGGAAAGGTGCTTCTGCCCTGTTCAAAGTTAACTTTTTCAACAACTTAGTACCTTTAAAAAAAACCCCAAAAATATGATAATGCAAAAGTAAGTGGCCATCAGCAAAACAGCAGTCCATATAACTGAACAAGAGATGCAAGCATTTTTTAACCCTTTCTTTCCTTTTCCTCCCAGGTGTAGAAAAATATTTTGGGGAACTTTTCTCATGACAAGTTTTTTTATGCTATTTTTGTCAGGCTCACTGGCTCTCTTCTAGTGCTGCTGCACGTCTGGGCATGCAGAGGAATGTACTCCGCTGCCGGTTCACTCTGGAGTCAGTGAAGCATTTGTCTAATGAGTCCCCTTTCCCCATTCCAGGATCAATAGAAAAAAAATCATATAACCTTTCCAGCTATACTGTGTACTTCTGGTGCTGTTTTAGCTCTTTTTGGCTTCAACAGTGAAACCCCAAGCCCCCTCTCTTCTTCAGTCTAGTTTTCAGGGAGAAAAAAGTCCACTAAAAGGCAGAAACATGAGCATGCTACAGGTGTACAAGGCTGATTGTAAACCTCCTGTTTTATCATGAGTTTTCTGACAGTTCCTGATTAGGTTTCTGCTCTATTTGAATCCACTGTGATTGCTACAAATACCAGTTTTAAAAAACTCTACAATCCCACCCCTCTGTGTCTCATGGTTACTTATTGTTCATCATCTTTAGTCAATCATGTGCAGGTAGTCTCGTGTTTGGTGCTACACAACTACATAGCAGGAGTTCTTATATATTTATAGATCATTAGTGAACTAAATGCAATCACTACTTACGAAAATGTACTCATTCAACTGGACAGGAAAACGTTTTTAAATAACTGGCTAACCTCAGAGACAATGTTGTGTTTAATGCTCAAATGCTCGTCAATCTATACTATGCAGGTAACATCCTAAGTGGCCTCTGCCTGAACTGTTCAGATGATTAATTTGAACTACAAATGTGGTCTGCAGTATAGATTTGAATCAAAAACTCCTTGCATATCGCCTATGAAGAGATTTCTGTTTGAATAACAGCTCTTTTCCATCAAATGTATTAATAAATGTTTGCATGGATGCTGAAGTGTTAGCCAGTGAAATCTCTTTAAAAGGCATTACATAGAAATGATCTAACAATAGGATCATTTTATAATACTGAAGATAGATGTTGTTGCACAGATAAAATCCAGTACAGAACTAACCCAAAGAAAATCAATCCACAATTGGCTTGTTTAAACCCTATGGGAAAACATTCACAGGACAATATTCTCAAGCTTTCTGCCTTGCAATCAATGGAGGCACCTAGAATACCGGTGAAAACAGAAAAATGGCAGTGCTGGTGGAGTGCTCTGCTGCTGAATGAGCAGCCTCGCTTCTGAACTCCCCCAGTTAAGAGCAAGTGTGTCCCCTCCAAAAAAAATCTTCTGGAATTTTCTCCCTCTGTCATAATCAAATCCATGTTTGGTGTCTAGCAGGTCGTGATGCCAACAACTGGGCAAAGAAGTTCACAGCAAGATAGTGAGACATGGTCCTCTCTAAGACTTACTTGCACAAGATTTTACTCTTCCGTGTTTTCCGAGCCAACTTTAAATGTAACAAACTGATTAGACTTGCTTGCATCCTGGTTTGACTCTGGAATGAATTGGGGAGAAGCGTAACCCAGAAATGTCTGCATGTTTAATCTACAATCTAAGTTTATCAATGTTTTTTTTGCTCCCTGGACAGAAGGTATTGTGGAAGGTATTATCATATGTGCCAAACTTTAAAACTTTCTGGCGTTCACTGTGATCTCAGCTTCCTGGCTGCCACAAGAAGTACAAACAGCACAAGCAGGGTATGCAACCTCTGCCAGGAGCAGACCAGACATTGCAATGCACTGGGCTGATTTCTCAGGAACGAGGTAACTCAAAAATGCAGCTTTGTCTCCTTTACAGCAGTCTTTTTAGAGGCTCAGAGATGGCTGCTGCCAAATATTTCTAGATTTTTATTCCATTTTGCCTGTCCCAGTTGCTCACACACCTTTGCTGAGTTGATACAACCACTAATTCCTAGAATCCTTATTTTTCTTCCTTACTGACCCCATGGCTCTGTTTGCCTCACATTTACTGTTCTAAAATTACCACTCATTATTTGATTCTCTTTGTGTAGGTCTTAGGTCGTAACGAGAGGGTGTAAACCTACCAAAAGTAATCAACATTTATTCTACACACACTTCTGAATGAACACAAGTACTCCCTAATTAGACAACAAGAATACTGTTCTAATCACTATTTATCTTGTGAATTACAACCCCATGGAAACATTTTCTTTGCACCATCTGGCTTTATGTATTTTTTAATGAGTTGATGAGTATTTATATACTTTACATGGAACAGACAGTAAAGCACTTGTTACATTAGGAAGTGAAATAAAGATTTTTCAAAACTGAATTTGTATAAATTCACTGTATTAACCATTTTACATTTTACCAAAATACCAATGACAGTTTTGGTGGGGGCTTCATGGGACTCATTTTACTCAATGAACATCTGCTGAGAAAGCTGCACATTATTGCTAGCGACGCTGGTTGAACTGGACCCCTGTGTAGAAATGAAAGCACATCTTTATTTCAAGCAGCACCTTGACTGATATTTTTGTCCTTATGATTTCTGTATTATAATTGTAATATTAAAATAACCAGTACAGATTCTTGCTACTGAACAATACCACTCAGATGCAAGGAGGAAGATACTATTACAATACAAAGATTTCAGGAACTAGCAATCATTTGAACTCTGCAGGAGATGAGAAAATGAGAGGATCTGGAAATACTTGAAATAAAGAAAACCTTTTCGAAATGAGTAAATGTGAATAACACCTTTGTATGTCTGCCTTTGCTCTTGCTAAAATGCCTGTCACTCTGCCTCTAAAACCCCACAATTTATTGGTTTTGTATATACAAAAA